AGTCCAATAACCCTGAGTCTGCCATGCTGTGAGGAAGCCCAATGACCACATGGAACGGTCCTAAGATTAAAGGAAGTGAGATGCCTGGCTAGCTTCAAGCTGCTTCAGCTCCCCCTGGTTCTCACAATCCCCATTATTCTAACTCCAGCTACTGTCTGAGTACAACTGCATGAGTGACCCCAAGCCAGAACTGCCCATCCCTTTCCAAATTCCTGACCCACAGAAACCATACAAGATGGTTGTTGTTTTAAGCCATTAAGCATTGGTATGATAGTTTTGCAGCAAAAGAAAACCAAAACACTGGGCAAGTTACTAACCTCTGTGCCTCAGTTTCCACATTTTTAAAATTGGGATAAAAGTACACCACAATGGGCTTTTATGAGCATTAAATGAGATAAAAACATACCCATCTGCCACACTGTAGCACCCCAAAAATGTTAGCAATTATCATTCAGGAAAGACACATAGTTTAGAAATCCTGACCAACCTAACAAAGATATTTGTAAGTTCCCATTTTCTATGCATGCTGGCACATTTGGATAAGGATGTATTCTATTAATGAAAAATCACCTTAAAGGTTGCTATGCATTTTGCGCTCTTTCAACAATTGGAGAGAAAACAATTTAAAAACTTGCTTGGGGTATAATTTGCATGGTACATATACCCTGAAATGCAGGAGTACTGGGAAGTTTTTACTTTGGTTCTACTTGCCCCTCTGGTAAAACATGCTTCAGAAAGCAGAAACAGTAAGGCCTTGTGATCACTTTCTCTTTTGTTGTCAGGCATAAGTAAATTGAGTAGAAGGGACGGTTTCTCATAAATTTGATCTTTGAGGACAATTTAAACACAGTCAGACTATGGATTTCTTTTCTTTTTTTCATGAAAACATGGGATTTTGTGCTCATTTATTTTACAGAGCACTTTAGTAGATATGTCTGAGAATGACAGTGTTTGCTAAATTAAAGGGTAAGATGATTATGCGGCTCACCAAAGGAATCTATTTTCTTATATATCTTAATGCACAAGGTCAATGGTTTTTATTTAGTATTTATTTTGAATTCATATGGCATGAAAAGAGGGAGGGGATATGGTAACATGTACATTTCTATCTGGTATCGTATATTCCCTGGACAATTTCTAACATTAGAATTGCATATAATTGCTTCTTGAAAATGACAGTCACTATTTATTCATTGTATAATTAAATAATACAACCCATCTCTAAGTAGTTTTTAAACTGGGAGTTGGGACATTTTGGGTGGCTTTTCTGGGTTTTGAAGTCAAGAGGGGGAGCTTCAGAAAGGTATTTGCTGAGACTGCATAGACCCTCCCCATTAAAAGTGAGCTTAATGATCAAAAAGGCATAATAATGCTGGCGAGGATGTGTACAAAGGGGAACCCTCCTACACTGTTGGTGGGACTGTAAATTAGTGTAGCCATTATGGAAAATAGTACAGAGGTTCCTCAAACAACTACAGATAGAACTTCTGTGCGATCCAGCAATCCCACTGTTGGATATATATCCAAAGGAATGGAAATAATCATGTCCAAGGGATACCTGCACTCCCATGTTTATCACAGCTCTATTTACAGTAGCCAAAAGTTGGAATCAACCTAAATGTTCATTGACAGATGACTGGATAAGAAAAATGTAGTATATATACTCAATGCAATACTATTCTGCCATAAAAAAGAATGAAATTCTGCCATTCACAGCAACACAAATGAACTATATAAGTGAAATAAGTCAGGTAGAGAAAGAAAAATACAACATGTCCCTGTAAGAGGGAGGGAGTGAGGGAGAAAGAAAGAAAGAAAGAAGGAAAGAAAGATGGGGCCGGCCCGGTGGCGCACTGCTACAGTGCGCCGCTTGGGAGTGTGGTGGCGCTCCCGCCAAGGGTTCGGATCCCACATACAGACCGGTTCCCGCTCGCTGGCTGAGTGAGGTGCGGGAGTGACACCGAGGGTTGCGATCCCGTTCCGGTCCCGGTCCCGGTCCGGTACGGGCGCGACACTGAGGGTTGCAATCCGTTGCCGGACACGAAAAAAGACAAAAAGGAAAAAAAAAAGAAAGAAAAGAAAAGGAAAGAAACGATCACAATGATACATTGAATTTTCAAAAAATAAAGAGAACAGAACCGTGGTTACTAGAGGTGGGAAATGGGGAGGGGAGGTTAGCAAGAAACTAGTTAAGGGTCACAAAAATTAATTACGTTTCGTAAACATGAGTATACTAATTATCTTGATCACCATATTGTACACATGCATTGATATTCAAATCTGTACCCCACAAATATAATCAATTATGTTTCAATTTTAAAAAAACTTAAAAATAATAAAATATATTTTTTAAAAAGTGTGAGTTTAACTTTTCCACTTGCTGTGTCATTGCCATTCCAATGTGGAAATTACAATCTCAAAATTTTTAACAGCTATTATTAGGGAGAATATCAACTGAAAGACTTTATATTCTGGGTGGGCCATATCATACAGGCCATAAATAAATGATTGAATTAAAACAAAAATAAAGAATCTTTCTTTCAAGTAATGTGAGATATTTTTAAAAACTCAATGTAAAAGTCATGTTCTGTAACACCCGTTAATTATTAGAAGAATTCAAGGATAAGGAACCTAAGACCTTACAAGCAAAACTCAGTCGAAGGGAATCAAAGTTGTAAGTTGAACTTTTAGAATCACAAAAACATAAAGTATGAAATTTTTTCCTCCCCCAAACATTATCATCCTCCTACTCCTCTTGGTAACACTTGGACTATCCACTGGTACTTACCTTCATGCACAGGAGTCAAACTTTTATACATCTTTCCCCCCAATTTATAATGCTTCATTTAAAAATCTGTATCCCTGAATGGTATGGTATATATGCTGGTAGAGAGCAATGTTGAAAACCAGATGGTAACACAGGACGAAGACAGAAAGTAGATATTCTCACGAGGGACGGATGACGTGATTGATGGCACAGAGGCAGGAGGAGAAAGACTGTGAGGTCTTTCTTGACACATGCAACCTCAGTGAATCAACAGCTCCTGCAACACTATGACAGTTTTAAATTCTGAACCTAGGGTAGATCATGACTTCATGCATTTTTGAATTAAAATTTTCCATTTCCAAATAAGTAAACAGAAGATGTTCATGGTAGAATTTACGATATGGGAGAATTCCTGGTTGGGAAAGGATTACTCTGTTGCCAACTCTAAGAAAGATCAAGAAAAAACATAGACCTGTTTATTTGGTATATTCACAGTAGCATACACAGTTACACAAATCACACTGACATCAAAAGTAATACTTGTAAAGTGTATGTCAGTAACACATTCGTTCAAACACATACTTCATGTTTGACAATGGCAGCGTTAATATCTGAGGTCTTTATTATGGAGGCACTGCACCAAGCCATCTTAGAACTCAAAGGGACCTTAAAGATTGTTGTTTGGTATTTTTCAAACTGCAGGTTACATCCTATTAGTGGGTCACAAAGTCAATTTATCAGGTTACAAGCAGTTTTTAACAAAACAGAGTAGATAGAAAAGATAAGGATATACAGAATGTATTATTTCATAAAATTTGTTTACAGTTTTACATATTTACATATATACACATATGTATATACACATGTATATACTCATGTATGTAGTGTATTATGTAAAACATAGTAACAAATTCTGATAACACAGACCTCTCCATAGATGCAGGAATATTCTCTTCAGCCTTTTCATAAAAAGTTGACACTGGTTGAGCACTTTGGGTCAAGCACTGTTCCAAGCTCTTCTCATATATTAATCTATATTATCCTCATAACGAACCTCTGAGATAGGTATTACTATCATTTACATCTTTTATATGAGAAACCTGAGATCCACAAAGGGTAAAAAACTTGAACAAAGTCACGTGGCCAGTAAGCAGCAGAGACTGAGTCAGACTCCAGTCATGCTCCCACGGCTCTACCTGAAAAGTCATGATATAACAGGGGACTCATGCCCTCCCAAGACAGCCTATCCCATTGTCCATGTCTCACCAAAGGTTAACAGAGCCATTTCTAGAACACAGACATCCCAATTTCCAATCCTGAACAGGGGACTCATGCCCTCCCAAGACAGCCTATCCCATTGTCCATGTCTCACCAAAGGTTAGCAGAGCCATTTCTAGAACACAGACATCCCAATTTCCAATCCTGTGCTCTCTACTACACCTCATGCAACAGCATTGTTTCATGAAGCTGAAATCCAACAAGCTCAAAATAAATAAAACATACATATAAGGATATTTGAAATATAACATATTTATTTACATCACTATTTCTTTTTTACAATGCTTCTATTTTTAAAATAATTTTTCCAGGAAATCATGTAATTTTAAATTATTAAGATACTTTAACAAAGAAAATTTTCACTCTATGATTTTTATTTACATGAATTTTCAAGTTTTCAGTAGTGCTTTTGAAACTGCACAATGTAACTAAAAGCTCTTATTTAGACCTTTCATCTTTTTCAAAAACTCTTAATTTAGAAAATTATGCTTAGAATCACATCCTTGCCATTCAGATCCTTTCAGATGAAGATCTTGTTAACATCTTTAGAAATATGAACCTGCTTCATAAATGATCCACATTTTGGCTGCAAGGTGAACCTACTGACACTTTTTGATGGTAAGCAAGGATATTTTGACACCTTAATTAAATTGCTTCGATTAAAACTTTCTGGAAGTTTTCTGTATCAGTCATAGAGCTGCTTATGTTGGTGTGTATATACTCTGAGCACACGCTGAATGTATGAGGAGGGATTTATCTCCAGTTTGGCCAACTCTGAAAGAGACTCACAGGGGATTCAGAATTTTACTGGGGCATTAACTGGTCTACTCTCCTCTCTTTGTCCAGTTATATTTGGGATGCTTAATTTTCCTCTGATGTTGTATATGCAAATCACTTACTTTTAACAGAATTTACTATTCATAAAATGACTTTCAATAATAACAATGATCTGACATCCTTTCATGTCACACTGACAGATTTCAAATATTTATTAGTGAAACTATAAGAGAAGGTAGATTTTCCTAATTACAAGTATGAAATCCTCTGAAGAGTTGGTATACCATCCATTAAAAAATAGAAAAGATTAACTTTTTACCATGATCAAAGCTAAAGTTCACAATGAAACACCTACACAGCTCTGGCTAACTTCTCGGAAGAACAGCCCAGGGTCCGTCTTGAACATCACGCAGCAGCAATAGAAGTATCATCCACAAGTCGACCCTGTGGCTTCAAAGTGCAAAAAACAAAATGGGTTTACATAGTAATAATGACAACAAAGCTCTGTTAATTGAAAGGACGTTGAAATTCTTCGAACTGTTTAACAAAAACAGAATGAATGTGTACAACAAGTATCACACAGCTTCTGCCAAGCTATCACTGATAGCAACATGACATGGAACCTACCTACCATTCCCGCTTAACTGATAAAGTTTTATTCTCTCTCTTGCTCAGGGCCCTCCTCTGTCTCTACCTTTAGGTAAGCCAAAAATCTGAGCTGATGACAAGTTCCACTGGGGGATTCAAGGTCTCCCAATCTGTTCGAGAAAAAGTGATTCACAACGAACTCTAGAGTATCTAACAATGCATACTATAAAGACAGAAACAGCATATAAAAACAAAAAGTGCCCTTTCTCTAGGGTTGCTGATTGAAAAATTTAAAACGTCACATCAGAAAAGTCAAGGCTAAGAATGAATAAAAGGTATCATAACTGTTTTTAGCTGTGAAATGTCTGATAGGTTAGCAACATCCATGAGAGTTACCTAGTAGCTAAAAGAATGAAATTCTTGCAAATAATTTTATTTTATTATAAAGAAATACAACTGCAGACCTTTGTGGGAAAAGCATGAGGAAGACTGTGCAGGAAATGCAACAGAACACTGTTATAACTTCACAATCAAAAGCCACTTGGTATGCTTTAAGCAGATGACTCCTGTGGGATCCCCTGACGCAGTGAAGAGCATTCCTTCTTTCAGTTTTATTGCTGTTGTGGTTGTATGTGTGTACATATGCATGTATGTGTGCATATGAACATATGCACATAGAAGTACAGGTCTCAGACATTCAAGGTGGGAATGGAATAAGTGACAGAATAGGTTCCCAGTCTTTTATTCTTCACTTAATTTTTTAGTATACTGATGGAGGCTGCTCAATTTTAGAAACAAAATAATGGCTCCACATGGTTAAATTCTTGCCAAACATATTTTTACAAGCAAGGGCAGAAGCCAACCATGCTCTAGGACAGCACTGTCCACTATGGTAGCCAGGGGCTGGCCAGTTAGCTCACTTGGTTAGAGAGTGGTGTTTTAACACCAAGGTCAAGAGTTCAGATCCCTGTACTGGCCAGCTGCCAAAACCACCCCCCACAACACACACAAAAAAACAACCAAAAAAATATGGTAGCCACTAGTCACATGTAGCTATTGAGCCCTTGAGGTGTTGCTAGAGCCACCAAGTCATTTTTAAATTAAATTTAAATTTTAAATCTCAATAGCCACATGTGACTAGCGGCTACCATATTTGACAGCACAGCTCTAAAGTTTAATGAAGGCTCACTGGAAAGTAAATGTTCAGTCAGTGATTGTTCATTAAGAGCGAAAGGGTAATCCTTAGTCACTGTTCTTAGTGTGACAGGTAAAAATAAATATTTTTTTTCAATTGACAAATAAAAATTGTGTATATTTATGGTGTACAACATGATGCTTTAATATATGTATACGAATACACCATGGAATGGCAAAAATGTTTAATTATAAGTTTCCCCAACTGATAAAGGAGCTGGCTCTGAGGATTCCACTCAACTTTTTGGGTAGCAGTCAGATTACTAGAATGTGGTACTTGTATTTAGGGTAGAGATCATGGCAGTTAGAAAAGGGCATGCTAGTTATGTTAAAACTTACAAATTTTTATTTTCTGGAACATTTCTTATGAATTAAAACACTACCCAAAAGAGGTTTGCCATGAAAGAAAGTCCAAAGACTGAACTAGCATTAGATGGGACTAGGCTTGGGTGTACTGGGTGCTACACAGAAAGGAATGAAAGAGATTAATTGACAGAACCAAAATCTCTGTCTCAGAAAGCATCTCAAACAAGCTATTGCTGTAGAGCTAGAATGTGATCAAGTCTGCATTGATGCATATGAGGGTACTTCAAAAAGTTCACGGAAAAATAAAATAGAAAGATAATACAAATCTTTCCATGAACTTTTTTGAAGTAACCTCATATTTCCATAATGCTTAAAGCAGCACTTTTGCTTTAGAAATAGCAAATTTTAAAAAGTCAAACAGCTAAAAGGACATTACAAAGACTGACCCATTCCCTACCACTCTTCCCACCTAGTCATGAGACTTTTCTTCTACAGGGTGACTTCAGACATAAGAATTGTGACATGGCAATGGAAGTGTCTTTAGAATCAGGTGAAAATGTTTTAAAAGCCTCTGTTTAAACACAAATAGATCTAAAATCATGAGATTTTTCTTTTATTACTAAAAAGTATGGTGTGGCATAGGAGTTTGGAAGAATTAATAATACTTTTTTGTAGATGCAAAAAAAAGTTGTACAAGTCTGGAGAGATAAAAGCTAGGAAGAGTATGGAGGATACATTAACACAGACTAAATTATAGTTTACCAAATCCTGGATTATATAAAGAAGGGACAGTTCCCCAAAACTTGAATAAGACAGACACAAAAAAGGAAGTAGCAAAAGCAATGTCACTTGTCTTTCCAAAAGGGGGTAAAAACTTAAAAGAGGGCATACAGGATTCATACATATTCATGTATATGGAGTTACAAAGGGGAACCGGAACTATCTGGAGGGATGGCCCTGATTTCAGGCATCTGGAAATAACTTCATCAGAGGTGGAATGCTGAGCTAAATAAACCACTTGTCCCACCCAATTCACTCTCTCACGCACTGACTATGACCATTCTACATATTCTTTTATTGCAGAAACCTGGAAATTGTATAATTTTAAAAAATCAAAGCACTAAACACCAGAGATAACTTCTGACAGACTGATTATAAACTAGTTAGAAAATAGCTTCAATTTTAAAACTAAGCCAAAGTGAAACCATGTTTAAGGATACTATAAGAATACTATAAAGATACATCATTATTTATCTAAGGGAATAAAAATCTTTGAAATTTCACAGAAATGAACAGCAATATTGTCTAATTCACATAAAAGTTGAAACTATCACTGTTAGTCTCAAAATATTATTTACTAAAGTTTACATAAAAACAAACAAAAAGAAGACATTTTTTAAAACAGTAAATTTACAATGCAGAAAATTTCTAAGACTTACCTTTACAAAAATACTGGTAGGGATAAAACGCCTGAGCAGCTGATTTGTGAAGTTAGGAAATCTAAGCAAGTTGATGTTGAGAGATGGCAGCTGCTGGTATCCAGCCATTAGAGGATAGAAATTATATAGCATTTCCTGTTTGGTGCCAGGTAGGACACGTAGTCGAATCTAAATCATAAAAAGTTATAGAGAAAGATAATTACACACACTTGTAATGTCTACATGTTGTGACCCCTTGATTATTTACAAATGACTGGACTCCCATTTCTTTCTAGTGCAATATTCATTGTCTCTCCTACTCTACCTTCCAGAAAGATTCCATAATGTACGGCTGAATTAATATGTCTGGTACCAGGCAAATACAAAAAGATCTATGCTTGATTTCTCAGTTTCTTCCAAGATCTATACCTTAGACCAGGTAGATTTCACATTCATGGTGTTACAGGATAATCTATAGAAAAGCATCTATTTATAGATATTATGTTAACATAAGACAAACTAGATGTTTCTGGTGTTTTCTTTTACCTTCGAGTTAAGGTAAGTAACTTCAGGGAAAAAAAGATGTTTGAAAATCTTTCATGATACTTTAGAAAAGAATATAAACTGGTAAGATTTTGGCATATTTATTTATATTTATTATTTATCTTTTTATTATTTTTTTGTTTTTTTTCCCCTAGTCAAGTGTGGTTGTAGGGGGAGACAATAATGAACTATTTATAAGTGAACAAATGGAAAAGATCTGGACACCCAAGAAAACCTTACTCATCTGTAAATCAGAAATGAACACATACATATGTATATGATGTGTCAAGGATAATATATGCATATGTGTACCAGTATATTATAGCCGGTATTACATTTAATATCATATATTATAAATCCAAGAGTACATGGACTTATAGCATATTTCATATATAACTCTACTTTGTATTTAACATAGCACTCAGAGCATGCACAGCACAGCTGATTAGTCAGGGTAGACACTTCCAGGTATTAAGACATACTTGTTCCTCTAATTATGCCTTTGTTAATAAAAAGATATTTACTGACTATTAAGGGGTGTCTCTGTTATCACTCTGACAGTGGAGGACTTTACTGAAGCATGGTTTTGCCTGACAGTGTTACATTTACTCATTTAAAAACCTGATGAACTTTTCCACTTCTGATTTGACTGAATGATCAAATAATCTGGATAATTTATTTTTAAGTGTAGATACAAAATGGTATCTAAACATACCAAAGATAAATAAATTCTATGCAAGATCAAAATTTCTAAGAAATTTCACTGATAGTGCAGAACAAAAACTGGCTTTTAATATTGGTACAGTCATGCCTCCAGGCCTCAAATTAAGACACACACACTCCAACAAACTCATCAGTAACAAAGAGGAGATTCTGAATTTTTCAGGAATTCTAACATATAATGTAGTCCAAGGATTTGTGAACTTTTGTTTATCTAAGAAATTTCACTGATAGTGCAGAACAAAAACTGGCTTTTAATATTGGTACAGTCATGCTTCCAGGCCTCAAATTAAGACACACACACTCCAACAAACTCATCAGTAACAAAGAGGAGATTCTGAATTTTTCAGGAATTGTAACATATAATGTAGTCCAAGGATTTGTGAACTTTTGTTTAATAAGGAGTAAGAACCTATGTGTCTGATCTAGATGATATGAAAAGGATAACCCATCTGATTCACTTTAATGGGAAGTTGTACTAAATGTTTAAAAATGTACTATTAATCAAAACAATAGGAATCACAGTCTGCCTTAATCAGGTCATTTATAAAAACTAAATGTATAGCCCTCCATTTCCTAGCCACACTTTTGTGTGTACATAAGCAACTCAATGAGATATGATCTGTACCTGTTTAAGACCTGAGAACATGAAGGCATCACTGGGCTCCACAGAAATTTCCACATCTTGAACTAAGTTAGTCTTATTCTGTAGGTGATACTTGACAGGTAATGATTCTCTAACACGCCCAAACGATGGCAGATCTAGACAGAAAGATGGCACATTTCTCTGTTAAAAAAAAATAGCTCACCATTTACGGGTTCTTTTGTAAATAAATCTCATTCTATAACCACAGGATTATTTAAATTGAGTATTACTACATTCTTGACAAATTAAAAATTATTTGATTGGACAATAGCTGTGGGACTATGATAAAACAGGCTAAGAAAATCAAAGTCTCCTTCTGAAAATGACTGCCTTAGAAAGAGTCCTGGCTATCAGGAGTTGAATAATACTTTAGGAATAATTAAGACAGTAAAAAAATCTACCAAAAAAAAAAAAAGTCTATAAAAGATTTCCCCAAATACCAATGTTTCCTAACCTAAAATAAGCAAAGGTATATATTTTAGTGAAAGTATAAGTAAAACTTTCATTCATATATACATACTTCAAAATTATTATAGATATCAGGGTAACCAAATGGTTGATAAAGGGACATTTCTCTAGATAAAAGTATTCCAGTAAAGAAAGAAGAAATAATAGACATTACATGCCTCCTGTTGAGAGCACATAATGTTAACTACGAAGTATTCTTGCCAAAACTTGAACCTGCATCTGACCAGGTCTACAGATCTAATGACCAATTTATGAGGACTGAGAAACATTTAAATACGACAACATGCAATCAGCAAATCCAGACTGCTGGAAGCTCTACAGAACAAATGACTTGGTTTCTTCAACATGTGAACAGCAAGGAGGAAAGAGGGAGGATGGGAAAAGCAGAAGTGGTTCAGGAGGAGGTGGTGAAGAAAGGGGTGTTGGAAGAGGTGATAGAGAGGAAGAGATGATGTGGGGGAAGGAGCAGGCATCAGCCTTCCTCCAGATTAAAAAAGCATGAGACCTATCCGCTGACTGCTGCATACAGACCTTAAAGTAAACTAAAAAACATTCAGGGTCAACTAGGGAAATTGCAACATTAGCATTTGATGATTCTAAAAATCCATCACTCATTTTTTAAATCATAATAATAGTATGGTGATTATGTTTAGAAAAACAGCCATTATTTTATAAAGATGCACATTAAAATATTTATAAATAAAATGATATCTGGGATTTGCTTCAAAATAAGGAGGGTAGAAGGAATGTGTAAGAGCAGAGATGAAATAAGTCTGGCCATAATCTACTTTTATAAATGTTGGACATTTTTCATAACATAAAGTAAAAAACTAAAATCTTAGACACTAAAATGAATATTATTATTGGATCCTTTTTATAAAGTAAAAATTTGAAATCCCACTACCTGCGTTCACATGAAGAGGGATATTTTCTACAATCACATGTGGCAGAGTGATGACAGTACTGATGACAGGAATGTTTTCCATGGCTGAAGTCCTACGGTAGAAAAATGTCATCTTTTAAACTCACACTTTATGTAAGAAATAAATTAAAAACAGGGAACATGTGTGTTTACCAACTAGGTTCAAAAGAAATATAAACTATTTATCCCTTTCCCAAAACTTTATTAATGGAAGTTTTGTGAAGTAAGAGCTTTTAGAATCCCTCTTTTGTTTTGAGTACTTCCCATTAACCAACGCTATCACCCATGGCTGCTGTTCGTTCCCAGTGGGGGATGAAGTCGGAAGTTGTGGCAGAATGTCAATCATGAAGCACAACACTTAATAAAATGTTTTCTTTTTCAATGCAGGAAGTAGTATAGTGATTCACATTATGACACAAACTCCTTTTCTCATGGAGGATGGTTCACAGATGGGTCCCAGACCACTTTCAAAGAGTACTGTTATAGTACAAATACATAGTAGAAACTGAAAAATTAAAAAATATTTTAATATCAATAAACACAGTGGCGTTCCAACATTTACTGAGATAAACTAACATTATGAAACTTAAATATTCTCCCTACATTACTGTTAGGGTGGGAACTATAGTGGTGGCTGGCAGAATCTGACTGTCAGAGAAATCCATTAGGAGGAATCTGCACCTAGGGAAGAGCAGCCGAAATAATGTGTAAACTATCACAGAGCAAAAACAAAAGGAAAAATATCTAAGCCCTCATCATAATAAATAAACTTATCTTTACAGTATTATAGTAGCATGATGAAATAATTAAGCAATGGCTTTAAAATGCTCCTTGAACACCTATAAATATAAGTTAAACTAAATATCAATATGGTAAATTCAGAAGTAGGGAAAAGAAAGACCAACTAGATTAATTTTTTATTTCTTAATAAAATGACAAATTTTCCCATTTTCATTTTTTTTAAATTTCTGCTTTAATTTCTAATATGGTAAATACCGAAACATACAGCTCACATAAATTAAAGCTCCTTAGGATTCTCAAAGATTTTTCGAAGTGTGAAGGTGTCCTGAGACCAAAATGTTTGAGAACCACTGGCCTATAGTTTTCTTTTTATCTTCTGTCAGGCTTTGGTATTGTTGCTCTTTATGAAAAGAACCAGGGAACTTTCCCTCTATGCTTTGAAGATAATTTATAATATGAGAATAATAAATAATGATGCCATGTAATTACATATATGAAACATATTCTTTGAAGGTTTGAAGGTAACTTTCTGAATTTCCTTCATAGTTACTGTTTTTTTAAATTTAAAAATTTCTCAATTTTGATAATTTATGACCTTTCAGTGAAAGCCATAACACTCATATCTTTTTACTCATTTTCTTTGAGCTGCATAAAACATTCCCTTATTATTAATACCTTCTGATTCCTTTTTCATTTTTAAGTAATAAACTTTATTCTGTTTTAGTATGTATGAAAATAATTAAGCCACACCAAAAGAATAACACATAAAATATCATGTATCTATTTCCCAGTCTAAGAAAGAAAACATAACACAGTTGAATCTTCCTGCATAGCCCTTCTCCCTTGCACCTCCCCACCCTATCCTCCAGAGGTAACCACTATCCTAAATTTGGTTTCTATCATTCTCATGTATTTCTTTATACTTTTCCAAATCATGTATGTAATCCTAAAAAATATATAGTATGTTTTACATGTCTTTCAATGTCATATAAATGTAATTTTTTCACATTGTCATCGGCAGCTTGTCTTGCTCACTTCGCATTAAGATGTTGACAGGTATAGCTCTGGTTCACTCATGTTCACTGATATACAGTATTCCACTGTATGAATGTGCCATCATTTATTTACTTTCCAGTTGATGGGCAGCTAGATTTTTTTTTTTCTTCTTACTTTTTACTATTATAATCAGTGCTGCTGTGAACATTCTTATACATTTGTATACACAGTTGAGACCTTTTCTAGGTCTGCAGGGTTACAGACATTTTTAATTTTACCTAGAACTGCCTAATAGATTTCCAAATTAACTGTTACAATTTATGCTCTACATCTTTAATAAACTTGGTATGGTTAAACTTTTTTATTTTTCCAAACTAGTGGAATTTGAGCCTCAGTGTGCTTTTTATTTGTCATTCCCTAGTTACTAGTAAGGTTGAGCTTCTCTCCATATGTTTACTGGCCATTTGGATTCCACTGCTTCAACTCCCTACTCAAGTTTTTTGCTCAACTTTCTGTTAGGTGACTTGTTTTTCCTTATGATTTATATAAGTTCTTGATAAGAAAACTAATTTTTGTCAGTTAAACATGCTGCAAATATCTTTTTTCCCAATTCATATTTTGTCTTTTTGCTTTGTTTATGGTATTTTTTAGTGAACTAAAAAGCTTAACTTTAAATCAAATTCATCGATTTTGGTGGCTTGTTACTTTTTGTGCCTTATTTAAACAAATTTTTCCCTACTCCAAAGTCCTAAAGCAATTTTCTTATGTTTTCTACTAGAAGTACTAAGTTTTTCTTTTTATAATTAAACCTTTAATATATCTGGAATTAATTTTTATAGTGTACAGTTGAGATCCAATTTTTTCTCAAATGAATATCCAATTGTTCACTACCAATGATAGAACAGTTCTTCCTTTCTCCACTGATCTGCAATGCTACCTCTGTAAAATATCATTTCCATATATGTGTGGGTCTATGGATCTATTTCTAGACTTTCTCTTCTGTTCTACTGGTTTATTTACATATCCCTGAGCCAATACTATAGTGTTGACGACAATATCTTTACAGTAAGTATTAGAATCCAGAAGAGCAAGTACCACTGCCTAGTTCTTTTTCTGGAGTATCTTGAGTATTTCTGACTTTTTGCCTTTCCACATAAATTTTAGAATCAAGAGTGTCAAGTTACACAAAAATAAAACAAAACATACGTTGAGATATTAAAGGAACTGCATTGGATCTACAGAACAATTTAAAAGATTAAATCTTACCCAAGACCACTGTGTATCTCTTTCATTTATTTAGGTCTTCCTTTAATGTTTTAAAGTTTTATGATTTTCTCCATTAAAATAATGTACATCTTCTATGTACATCTTCTATTAGATATATTCCTAGGTATCTTATATTTTTGTTCCTATGTAAATGATACCTCTTTTAAAAGTAAATTGTCTAAAGGCTCATTACTGATATACAAAAATCCAACTGATTTTTGTACACTGATGTTATGTCCAGCAACCTTAGCTGAACCTCATAATTATAATAGTTTGATTCCCTTGGGTTTTCTATGTAGACAATCCTATTGACTACAAATGAAGACTGTTTGACCTGATGTCTTTCAATGGTCCTATCTTCAGATTTAGTTTGCTGAAATTTCATTAGCATATAAGTCACAAATTGTTTCAAATACAAATTAAAGTTCAATTATCCTTTTTAGTCTCTGTGTTTTTCACAAATGGTCAGTCATATCCATGTGACTTCTCTTTTGCTCTTCATAACAATAGAAGGTCTCAACTATTAAACGACAATGATAAAGGTATTAGAATAAAAAAGGCATTGATGAAGACATACAGGGTTGATATAATTTTTACCTCTTCCAGGAGACAATATAATGTCCAGTTGCTACTCCACCTTCAACATTTCCAACAGAAGGGCACCGAAGACAAAAGCATTCACTAGCACTCTCTCCAGTCTGTAAGACAACTACAAGAAATAGTCTTTATTATCCTTATGCAATAGTTTCATATATGAAAGGAGAGTTTCACATCTAAGTAATATAACAAAGAAGGAATACCTTATCAATTATATATTATTTATAGAGACTTAGAAACTAAGGCTCAGAAAGGTTAAATGATTGTTTCAAGGTCACAAAGTCCAGTGTTTTTGCTAAATATCTATCATTATCTATCAATATTCTACTATAATAAAAACCAGTGAGGAATCTGTATGTCTGTGACAAAGTCCTATTTGTAATGGGAGAAGCTGGGAAACAGAATATCCTATGGTGATTATTTTTCTTTTTGCAAATTATTTCATGTCTCCAAAGGAAACATTTTGGGGTAGAGAAAAAGAAAAGAGAAAACTTTAGTTATCCTTAAAGTACTCAAAATGTCATTCCACAAAATTCTGGCTTTCACTGAGTAAATACATATTACTGATACTACTCAAATGTAAATACATTGCATATTGCCTCATTATCACCTAACGTGGCTCCTCAGCTCTTTGTGGAAGGATGCTTTCCTCTTGCTAATTTTATAGTAAATTCCCTGATGACAAGCTAAGTGCTCATCTAAACCAGTCTTCACTACCTTTCAGCACTTCACAGCCTATAATGTCACTCCTTTAAATGCAAGTGGGCAATGGTGTCTATCGAATACCAATTTTAGCAAATCTGTGAGTGAAACTTTGAAATAATAATAACAACAAAGTCCCTAAACACAAGGTTATTATTTTTATGGTTTTCCAATGAAGAAGGTTGTATTAGATTAATGGAGGTCTGACTATGGATAGATAAGAGCAATTAAAGGAAAAAAAGCTGGGTCAACCTTTACTTTAATTAAGTACTTTTAAGTAATTTTAAGGACTAGGAAATTATATTGTAGCCCAGTAAATAAAAAATGCATCAATTCAAATCTCTTGAGATCATTTTTTTTAAAAACCTGAGCCATTCATAATTCCAAAGTCCCCCTGATTCTAAGCAGTTAACCAAAATGATCATTATGTTTATTAACAATTAATGTTAGGGTCAATTTGTGACACAGAAATGCTACACTGCTGGTTTTGAAGACGGAAGAAGCCATAAGCCAAGGAATGCAAGTGGTCTCTAGAAGCTGGAAAAGGCAAAAAAAGCAAAAAACAAAAAACAACAAACCCCAGATTCTGCCCTAGCGCCTCCAGAAGGAATGCAGCATGCCAATACCTTGCGTTTAGGATTTCTAACCTCCAGAGCTTTAAAACAATAAATCTGTGCTGTTTTAAGCTACTAACTTAGTAATCATTTGTTACAGTGGAAATAGGAAACTAATACACTGGAGGTTTAAACCAGAGATTACTCCTAAATGTAATAAACATTTATTAACCAACTACTATGATGCTGGCGATACGAAAATGAATAAGTCACAGGTCTGGCTCTAAAGAAGCACATCATCTAGAAGGGGAGCCATACTTATGAATAAAAAATTGCAACAGACTGGGGCCGGCCCGGTGGCGCACTGCTATAGTGCGCCGCTTGGGAAGCGCGGCGGCGCTCCCGCCGAGGGTTCGGATCCCACATGCAGACCAGTTCCCGCTCACTGGCTGAGCGAGGCACGGGAGCAACACCGAGGGTTGCGATCCCTTTGCCGGTCCTGGTCCGGTACGGGGGCGACACTGAGGGTTGCGATCCGTTGCCGGACACGGAAAAAGACAAAAAGGAAAAAAAAAATTGCAACAGAATAAGCATTATAATAGAAGTATATACAAAATAACATGTGAGTAAAGAAGGAAGAGTACTTAGTCCTGCTTGGGAGGATCAGTAAGTCAAAGCTTACATGAGCTCTGAAGAGCAAGCAAAAGTTCAACAGCTTGAAGAAGAGGGGGGAGAGGATTTTAGACAAAAGCCATTATATGTTCAATAGCAGATGGGGCAAGTTTGATGAATTTAAGTCTGCTTTGGTTCAAGTGTGGGAAAGAGCACAGAGAAGTCGAGAGACTGGTATAGAAGCATCTGAGAAAGTAAGCCAGAGCCAGATTGGGGAAGGTCTAGGGTGTCACCACAGGTTTTTAAGTAGGAATGACAAGTTCAGAATAGTTTTTTTAGGAATCAAATTCTAGCAGCAATATGGAAGGCAGACTAGGGAGAGAATTACTAGCAAAGAGGAAAACTTAAGTTAAGAAGCTATTTCTATAGACCAGGTGAGAAACAGTGAGGAGGACAGATGGAGTTGAGAAGCTGAATTCAAGAGATGTTTGGAAGGCAGAACTTGGGGTTGGGCTGGATATGGGTGTAAAGAAGTGTAGTTTTTCTAGCATGGATTTGGTGTCCAGTGACTCCAATAACTGGGTCTGGGAATACAGGTAGCCTGAGGTTTTGTGGCAGTTGAGACTTGTGGAGAAAGAAAAAGGGAACCAAAGTCAGAACCTTAGAAATGACTAACATTTAAAGGGTAAGAAAAGAAATCAGGGCCAAGCCCGTGGTGCACTTGGGAGAGTGCGGCACTGGGAGTGTAGCAGTGCTCCCGCCGTGGGTTCAGATCCTATATAGGGATGACCGGTGCACTCACTGGCTGAGCGCGGTGCGGCTGGTCTCAAAAAGTACAAAAAAAAAAAAGAAATCAGAAAATGGACAAAAAACCAACCTTTTATTGAACTGTTAGAAGATGAGCACTGAGCTAAGCTATTTCATATTGTCTCATATAGGATATTTTGTTACTTCACATACATTATCCTCTTCAACTATGAGAAGTGACAAAACAAAATGAACCATCCTAGTTAGCAAGAGCAAGTAGTAGTGCTGAGAACTGAATCCAGTTCAGTCTGACTCTAAAGTTCTTAATTATTCTACATTAGCACCATGAGAAAAAAAGGAGGGAACAACAAAGAACCAGAAACAATGATTTCAAAAAACACAAGAAAACCAAGTTTCAAGGAGAAATGAAAAAAACTTATAAAGGCATTCTGAAAGGCAAAATATGTTTTTTATGATTGCTACTTTATAGAACGTGCAAGATATTTTTAGCATTTAAATAGAAAGGTTTAGGGACATGTGTGATTTTTATCCACTGATTTTACAAAAAGATTTGATGCCAAGATCTTGTACTAAAATCCAATTATTCTATCATTCCAAGGGAAAATAGTACCTCCTTTAGGATGAGTTTTCTGAAACACAGAGAC